GTGATTAAATTTAACATAGTGATTCTGCCCCTGCCTTTTTTCTTTCTTTCAGTTATGTTTATTGAAGTATAGTTTTATAAGTAGTAAAAATTCACCTTTTCAAGTGTACAGTTTGATGAGTTTGATAGGTGTATGCAATCATGAACCACTTCCACAATCAAAGTATAGAACAATCCTTCACCCTAGAAAGTTCGCCTGTGGCCCTTTGTAGTCCATCTCATCCCCTTACCGCCAATTCCTATTACCACTGATTTGATTTCTGTCTCTGTAGTTTTGTCTTTTCCAGGATGTCAAATATTTGAAATCCTATAGCATGTCGCCTTTTGTGTCTAGTTTCTTTCACTTCATATAATGCTTTTGAGGTTCATCTGTATAATTTGTTCCTCTTTATTATTGAGTAGTTTTCCATTTATCTGTACTATAAGTTGTTTATCCATTTCTCAATTGATGGACATGTAGATTGTTTAGTTTTGTGCTATCATGAATAAAGCTGCTAAGATATTTACATTTTGCCTATGGATATACCAGTTTTGTGGACATGTTTTCATTTCTCTTAGATAAATACTTAGGACTAGGATTACTGGGTCACGTGATAAGCATATGGAAACAGATTGGCAATTTCTTGTAAAGTGCATATACCATTTTTACATTCTCACCAACAATGTATGTGATTTTGAGTTGTTCCCCATCCTTACTAGCACTTGGTATTGTCAAGCTGCTTTGATTTTAGCTGTTTTGGTCAATATGTAGTAGTATCTCATTGTGGTTTTAATTTGCATTCCTAATGACTAATGCTGTTTAGCATCTTTTCATGTGCTTATTTGCCATCCTAATAGCTTGTTTGATGAAATGGCTGTTCAAATCTTTCCTCTGTTTCTCTTTATAGTTTGTGTATTTTGTATACTATGAAATCTTTGCCTAACCCAAGATTACAAATACTTTTTTTCTAGAAGTTTTATTGTTTTAGCTCTTAGTTTTAGGTCTGTAATTCACTTTAAGCTAATTTTTGTATACGATGCAAGGTAAGGTTAGAGGTTTATTTTCTCCCATATAGATACCCAATTGGTCCAACAACAGTTTTTAAAAAGACTGTCTTGGAGCCTGCCCCATGGCCTAGTGGTTAAGTTCAGCACGCTCTGCTTTGGTGGCCCAGGTTCAGTTCCCGGATGCAGACCCATACCACTTGTTGGTGGCTGTGCTGTGGTGGCGACCTACATACAAAATAGAGGAATATTGGCACCGATCTTAGCTCAGGGCGAATCTTCCTCAAGCCAAAAGAGGAAGAATTGATAACAGATGTTAGCTCAGCGTGAATCTTCCTTAGCGGGAAAAAAAAAAAAAAAAAGACTGTCTTTTCCTCCATTTAATTACCTTGGCACCTTTGCAAAAACCAGTTGACAACAGATGTATGAATCTATTTCTGTTATTTTCCATTGACATATATGTCTATCTTTATGCCAGTACTACAGTCTTGATTATTGTAGCTTGATAGTAAGTCTTGAAATCAGGTAGAGTCCTCCAACTCTGTTTTTTTTTCCCTTTTTTTCCAGAATTGTTTTGACTAAGTCAAACAATTCTAAGTCCAATATATATATAAAAAATACATGGTGACCAAATAGAGTTTATTCCAGGAATATGAGGTTGATACAACTTTTGAAATCAATCAGTATAATTCACCTTCTCAACAAACTAAAAAAGAAAAAAATCATCTCCATAGATGCAGAAAAAGCATTTGGTTAAATTCAGTATGCATTCATTCATGATAAAACTCTCAGCAAAATAGAAAGAGAAGGTAACTGCCTTGGTGAAATAAAGTGTATTTACAGAAAGCTGTTAGCTAATATCATAGTTAATGGTGAAAAATTGAATGCTTCACCCTTAAGTTTGGGAACAAGGCAAGAATATCTGCTCTTAATAAGTCTATTCGGCATTGCCCTTGAGATCCTAGCCAGCACAATAAGGCAAGAAAAAAGAAGCATACAGATTAGAAATGAATAAATAATTTTTGTCTTAATTCTTGTTTCTATGAGATGACCTCATTGTCTATGTAGAAAAAATCCCAAAGAATCTAGAAAAAAGCTACTAGAGCTAATACGTGAATTTAGGAAAGCTGTGGAATACACTGTCAGTTTATAAAAATCAATTGTACTTCTATTAGCAATGAACAACTGGAAATTGAAATTCAAAAAACAAGAATTTTTGGTATAACATCCAAAAATATGAAATACTTAGGGATAGGTGCACATATCAAATATGTGCACAAATATGTGCAAGATTTGTATGCTGAAAACTACAAAACATTGCTGAGAGAAGTTAAAATAAGACTTGAATAATGGAGAGATGTACCATGTTAATGGATCAGAACACTCAGTATTGTTATTGGGGAGATGTCAGTTCCTTACTTCTCTCTACGTGGATCTGTAGATTAAACTTAATCCAACCGAGATCTTGGTAGGTTCTTTAAAAGTATCTTCACATGAAGAATCCTGTGAAGTACCTTTAATTAGAATAAATAACTGCCTCTAATTAAAAAAAAAAACAAAACAGTATCTTTACATGAAAGGATTAACTAAGATTGAGTCTGTAATGGCAAAGGTGAAAGGCAAACCTTTTTTTTTTTTTAATAGAAATTGACCAGCTGATTCTAAAATAATTTCAGAAAATTCTCCCACCTCTGAAAATGAATGTACAAATCACATTTATTTTAAGTAGCAATAGCTAATATTTATTGAGTATAATGTTAGGTTATTTTAAAGCGTTTTATGTGTATTAACTAATTTAATCCTTAGAATAGTGCTATGAAGTACTATTATTCCCATTTACAAGATGATGAAACTGAGGCAAAGAGAGGTTAAATGACTTGACTAAGGCTGAATTCTAACCTAGTCTGGCTGTAGATCCTGTATTGTTAACAGCTACCTCAGGTTGCCTCTCCTGTTTTGATTTGTTTTCAAAGTACTAAATACTGAATTTTATTTTGCCTAAGGCTGATATTGTGATCTATGGTGTTGCTTCATTTAAGTGGAAGTTTAGACAAAACCCAAAGTCAGTTACTGTTCCCATTGTTGTGTGTATGGTGAGTGCTGGAGGGGTGGTTAGTGAAGGCATTTAGAATGGTTAATAATCATATTAGAATTCTATTTACATATTTATTTTGTGTGGCAATTATTTGTTATCTTTAAAAAGATACTGTTCGTTAAATGTTTCTTTATAAGAAAGGATTGACTAAGATTGGGTGTATAACGGCAAAGGCATGCTTTTCATAATTTACATATGATATTAAGTGGCATAAGTGATGTGATGACTATATTTTCCAAACTAAAACTTAGGAATTTTATGCCTTTTCAGGTGTGAGAGGCAGCCTATGAGTTATATAGATTTTAAAATTTTGGAATTTCCAGGCCATGAAATGACTTTTTCGTCTGGCATTAGAATCACATCTGGAGCTTAAAAACTACCCGTTGGTGTCCCTTTTCCCCGTTCTGATTTCAGTGGGTAGTTATAAGTTAAAAGCTCTATAGGTAGTTCTGATATGCGTCTTAGATGAGATCCACTAATTTATGGAGACAGTTGGATAGAATATCTAAGATTTGGACCATCTCAAAAAATCCAGACTGTATGATCACCATGTTTAATAAAGGCAGGATTCTTACTTCTTATAAATGGTTGTTAGCACAACAGATGTCTACTGTGAAATCATTCTTCCTTATCTGAGTAGTTTTCCCCACCCCGTTTTCTTTACTATATGTTAACTATCTGGTCACACTTAGTTGTGCCACAGCTCTGAAATTCAGTGATTGACTATATGTACACAACCACTCCACTTGGCCCGCCTTATACATATAGATTTTAAAGTTATTGTGGAACAATTTCCAAAATTATTGGAATATTACATTTAGGCATTTCCAGTCTCACTTCTGTGTTGAAGTTTAATTGAAATTCTAAATTGAGGTTTTCAGAAGTAACAGATACTCAGGATTCCAGATAAGTATAAAGGTCCTTGTTACATTAGGTTGATGGAGAATAACAGAATAGTCATTAAAAGTAAAACTCTTAGTGCCTCCTCTCTTAAGAACCGTAGAAAGTGTGAACTAAAAAGACTTAGAGGGGCCAGCATGGTGGCATAGCGGTTAAGTTTGTGTGTTCTGCTTTGACGGCCCGGGGTTCGCTGGTTCCGATCCTGGGTGTGAACCTACTCACCGCTCATCAAGCCATGCTGAGTCAGCATCCTGTATAGAAGAGCTACAGCTCTACAGCTATGATACACAACTATGTACTGGGGCTTTGGGGAGAAAAAAGAAAAAGAGAAAGGTTGGCAACAGATATTAGCTTAGGCCCAATCTTTCTCAAAAAAAAAAAAAAGACTTAGAGATTATCTACTGTGGGTTCCTATTTTGCTGGAAGTAAAATTAAGCTCAGAGAGGATTGACTTGCCAAAGGTAGTATAATTAGTTTATGGTAGTATAATTTATTTATTAGTATAAATAAATGTAAAACTCAAATAATTATATGGTAAAAAAGCAATTGAACTTTTTTCTTTTCATAATTTGAAATTAGAATTAATGTGTTTTACAAAAATAAATATTTTATTACCCAAGCTTTGGCAAAAATTTTAAATGTTAGTTTTATTGTCGCTATTTATGAATTTCTTTTAAAATAATGTCTGCCATCAGTTGAATATGTCAACTTGCTATAGAAATTTCATTTGTTACTGCAGTGTAGTTTTAGTTCTGTGGGTGAGAAATAGGAAACTTACAGGAAATGTAGTCAGTCTATAGATATACAGTTGTTTTCCTTCCTTTGCTTATTGTAGAAATTATAAACCATATAATTGTTTTTATCTTTCAATTGATTGGAAAATAATGGAGCAGATTATTTTTTACTTCCTTTTTTTTTAAGGTTTCTCATTTTAAGTTCCTCATTTTTTTCTTTTGTTGCGTCAACGATGTATCTTTAATAAACTTGTTCTGTTTGTTTGTTTTCTCTTCAATGAATGTCAGTTAAAGAAAAATTGACTGCGGATCCAGACAGTGAAATAGCTACAACCAGCCTAAGGGTTTCTCTACTATGTCCAGTAAGTGTTAACTAATAACTTGCTTTCCAGAAGATTTAACATACATTTTCTGTTTTTATTAAGTATTTCCAGTATTTGAGAAATTCTCTTTACTTTTGAAATATGCCTACCTTTACGAAAAGTTAGGAAAACATTATTTAGTCATAGGATTTGTAATCTAAACAAATTTATAAGTCTATAAAAATTTTCTATTCTTAGATATATTTAAGTATTGCTTGTGATTAATGACTCTCTCTCAGATTAAGTGTGAAATCTCCAAATAAGAAATGTTGGTTATCTCGGTTTATTTATAAAAATTTCATTTTTATAGCATCTTTGTAGATAAAAATCTGGCCATGATTACCCACACATTCAATTGAATGATTTTGCCAACAATGACTACATTATGAGAATCCACCAGTTAAAAATTATTCTATTTAACCTGAATAATTGAATTGGTTATGCATATGAAAATAACCTAGAAATATTTTTAAACCAGAAATTGAGGTCAAAATCAATCTTTTGTACAAAATAAATATAAGGCCCAAGACATCCCAAATGATTAAACGTGTAGTGAAAAAGTTTCCAAAAAATGTGTTGTTAAGGCTTATTTCTTAACTAATTTGATGTTAGGTCCTCCAGTAGTAGGAATAGTAATTGAATGTGGCTTTCATACAAAAATATGTGAAAAACTAAGAGTAAATTACTTTGACATTTTGATTACCGTTTTTCCTATAATTAATCAAGTTAATCATATCTAAATTGGGGAGAAACTATGAAGAATAAGAGGACACAACTGTTTCCTAGTTTGCCTGGATTGTTCGGGCAGGCCTGATATTGAAAGCTTTTAATATTGATATCCTATGAATCTAAGATGAAGATGAAGTCATATCCTTAAAAAAACAAAGAATTTAAACAGAAATTAGATGTTATTTGTCCTACATCTTAGTATTTTGTAATTTATAAAACCTCAAATACAATATGAAAAAGTTATTAGCTCATGAATTAGTTTATAATACTGTACTTTATGTAGCTCTTTTCAACAAAAACTTTTATTTTATAATTGCTAAGGGATCTCCTGTTCTTTATTAAACTTTTGTAAATTACTGAAAAAATACAATGAAGTTAATAAGCACCAAATTCTATCATTTTATGTATATCTTTCTATCTTTTTATTCCTTACTATAGCCAATCTTTTTCTTATGGAAAGTATTTTGACTTTAGGCTTTTTATATTATTACTAAAAATTCTTTCCCAAATATGTGATGTAATCATTTACGGAACTGAAGGGAGAAAGAAACAGCAACACAATAATAGCAGGAGACTTAGATACCTCACTTTCAGTTAGGATAGTTAGAACAACCAGATAGAAGGTCAATAAGGAAGCAGAGGACTTAAACAACAGTATAGACCAACTGGGTCTAACAGACATATACAGAATACCAAACAGCAGCAGATACACATTCCTCTCAAGTACACACAGAACATTCTCCAAGATAGACCACGTTAGGCCACAAAACAAGTCTTAGCAAATTTAAGATGAAAATCATATAAAGTATCTTCTCCTCTGACCACAGTGGGATGAAGCTAGAAATCAATAGCAGAAGCAAAACAGGAAAATCCACAAATATGTGGAAATTAAACAGCACACTCTTAAGCAACCAGTGGGTCAAAGAAGAAATTACAAGGAAATTTAGAAAATAGCAAGAGACAAATGAAAATAAACACAATATACCAAAACTTATGGGATGTAGCAAAAGCAGTAGGAAGAGGGAAGTTTAAGCAGTAAATGCTTACATTAAAAAAGAAGGATCTCGGGCCAGCCCCGTGGCTTGGCGGTTGAGTGCTTGCTCTCCGCTGCTGGCGGCCCGGGTTCGGGTCCCGGGCGTGCGCCGACGCACCGCTTGTCCGGCCATGCTGGGGCCGCGTCCCACATGCAGCGGCTGGAGGGATGTGCAGCTGTGACATGCAGCTATCTGCTGGGGCTTTGGGGGGAAAATAAATAAATAAATAAGTGCGCCAACGCACCGCTTGTCCGGCCATGCTGGGGCCGCGTCCCACGTGCAGCGGCTGGAGGGATGTGCAGCTGCGACATGCAGCTGTCTGCTGGGGCTTTGGGGGGGAAATAAATAAATAAACAAATAAATAAAATAAAATAAAATAAAATAAAAAGAAGGATCTCAAATCAACAACTTAATCTTACACCTTAAGAAACTGGAAAAAGAAAAACAAACAAAACCCAAAGTCAGCAGAAGGAAGGAAATAATTAAAGATCAGAGGAGAGATAAATAAATCAAAGAGAGAGAATAGAAAAAAAAAATCCATGAGACCAAGAGTTAGTTTTTTGAAAAGATCAACAAAATTGACAAATTCTTAGCTAGACTAAGAAAAAAAGAGGGAAGACTCAAATAGCTGAAATTAGAAATGAAAGAGGAGACATTACAACTGATGTCACAGAAATAAAAAGGATTATAAGAGACTACTATAAACAATTATATGCCAACAAATTGGATAACCTAGAAGCAATGGATAAATTTCTAGAAACAAACAACCTACCAAGACTGAATCACGAGGAAATAAGAAATCTGAGCAAACCTATAACTAGTGAGGAGATTGAAGCAGCAATCAGAAACCTCCCAACAAAGAAAAGCCCAGGGCCCCATAACTTCATTGGAGAATCCTATCGAATATTTAAAGAAGAATTAACACCAGTCCTTTTCAGACTCTTCCAGTGAATTGAAGAAGGAATACTCCCAAACTCATTCTATGAGTCCAGCATTACCCTGATACCAAAAACAGCCAAAGACACAACAACAACAAAAAAAGGAAATTCATACCAGTGTCTCTGATGAATATTAATGCCAAAACCCTACACAAAATACTAGCAAACTGAATTCAGGAGCACATTAAAAGGATCATATACCGTGACCAAGTGGGATTTATAGGTGGAATGTAAGGATGGTTCAACATGTGATAATCATGTGTAATATACCACATTAACAAAAGGAAGAACGAAAGCCACATGATTGTCTCAATGCAGAAAAAGCATTTGACAAAATTCAACACCCTTTTATGACTAAAACACTCATCAAACTAGGATTAGAAGGAAGCTTCCTCATCATAATAAAAACTATATATGAAAAGACGGCAGCCAGCTTTCGGTCGTCAGCATCATGGCAGAGTAAGCTTTCCTGTAAACTCTTCCCCTGATGAGATAGAACAAAAGAACAGTCACAGACCAACAACGGACTCCTAGACAGCAAAAAGGAAGATTGGAAAGATCCACACTGCCACACAGCTGAGAGTGGACATGCTGGAGCCCCCGGAGGAATTAGGGAGAGGTAAGGAGAAATCCTGTCCCTCCCCATCAGATCAGCGATCCAGGTCCGTGTGGCTCCCAGAGAGGGGGGAGGGGCGGCCCTCTGCAGGGAAACTGTAGCTCTTCGGGCTCTCTCAGCCAATGGGAAACTCCCACACAGAGGACTCAGAACTGCTACAGGGGTGCCATCCACATCTGAGCACCCCAGGAGAGCGGATAACGAGGGGTGAGCGAGAAGCCCCCCACGCCAGGGACCCAGCAGGCAAGAGAGAGAGCACACCCCTCCACATGCCTGACACTGAAGCTTAGCCGACCAGACCAGACCGAGTGGCTGGCTGATCGCAGCTAGCAGCCGGGTCAGAGCACAGGGGGTCAGATTACACAGCCCTTAACCCCCACACGGTGGCGGCGGGTGGAAATTGCAACCAGATATTTCCAGGATGGGGAAAAAACAAAGCCAATATAGGAACCACAGTGCAAAGGTACGTGAAATCACCAGACCAGAAGAAAATGACAAGCACCCAGAAACCAACCCTGAAGGCACAGAAATCCATAACCTAAACGACAGAGATTTCAAAATAGCTATCATAAAAACACTCAACGAAATACAGGATGACACAGACAAACAATTCAACGAGATAAGGAGTTTCTTCACAAAAGAGATTGAAATCATAAAGAAAAACCAATCAGTACTGATGGAGGTGAAGAACACAATGGAGGAGATAAAGGAGAATCTGGAATCTTTAAAGAACAGAGCTGACAATATGGAGGAAAGAATTAGCATTATAGAGGATAGGAATACAGATATGCTCCAGATGGAAGACGAGAGAGAACTAAGACTAAAAAGAAATGAAGAAAGTCTCCGAAAAATATCTGACTCTTATTAGGAAATGTAACATAAGAATTATAGGTATTCCTGAGGGAGAAGAAAGGGAAAGAGGAACAGAGAGCCTATTCAAGGAAATAATAGCTGAGAACTTCCCAAATCTGGGGAAGGAGCAGGAAATACCAGTAAGTGAAGCCAATAGGTCGCCTAAATACATCAACAGGCAAAGACCCACTCCACAACATACAGTGGTAAGGCTGGCTAAAGTCAATGACAAACAATATTAAGGGCAACTTGACAAAAACAAAAAATAATGTACAAAAGAACTCCCATCAGGCTCTCAGCAGATTTCTCAACAGAAACTTTACAGGCTAGGAGAGACTGGAATGATATATTCAAAATACTGAAAGACAAAAACTTTCAGCCAAGAATACTCTATCCAGCAAAAATATCCTTCAAATATGATGGAGAAATAGTAACTTTCCCAGATAAACAAAAGCTAAGGGAGTTCATGGCCACGAGACCCCCACTACAAGAAATACTCAAGAAGGCCCTCAGGCCTGAAAAAAAGAAGAGAAAGGGAATACAAAGCTTGGAGCAAGGAGAAAAATAGGTAGACAAAATCAGAAAAAGAGTAGATCTTTACCGGAATAGGTTAGCAACCACTTAAATACCAAAATCAAAGATCAAAGGAAGGAAATCACCAAAAATCATCACTGTGAACACACACCCACAACACAAGGTAGCATAAGGTATAACAAGAACGACTTAGAAGGGAAAGAGGAACGAGATTGAATTGACTTAGTATAAGGAAATAAGAGGCCATCAGTTAATGGACTATCTCATACACAAGATTTTTTATACAAACCTCAAGTT